GTGCGGCAGGAGAGGTCTGCTGCGCCATGTGGGACCCTTACCAGCAGCCGGGGATTGAACCGGCACTGAAGAGGCTGTGGGCAGCTTCGCAGCCCAATGCTCAACCACTGCGCCACCAGGGAGGCCCTAAGGCAACTCTTATGGGAACTTCCCTTTGGGAACTCATTTACTGAAAAATGTGTAATAACAAAATGACCACCTGATCAAAATTCATTTTTAACACAATTATAAATAGAACATTGAGAAATTTATGCCACATTTCTGACATCCAGGGAGTAAAAGAGAAAGAGGTGAGGGAAATCATAGACACCACATTAGGACAGGGAGCATGAGGATTAGTAACCTAATAGTAGTAATCCTTTGGCCTGATTCAGATAGGGTTAGTAATCCCTGTGCTGTGCTGTGGGAATCCCTGAATAAATATCTTAAATTCAATCATCATTCCCTAATATATACATTCCTATGTTTATGTGTGTGTATATATATATATGTGTGTATATGTATGTATTCAGTATACACTTTTTTTAAACTGGAATTTTCATATACTAAAATACTAAATCTATACAAGCACATGTACATTGAACAACTTAAAAAAATACATACACAAAAGCCAATTTGGCTATTTCCCCAAAACTTAGGCACTTTTTATCTTAAGAAATTCTGAAAAACTCAACTTCTATGAAATCAACATTTTTGTTCTTCTAAATGTACATTTCTAGTGTACTTGAGAGGTCTATAGAGAAAAATAATTATGTGACTTTATTTATCATTAAACTAAATAAACATCACTGCTTCGAATGGTTCCAGATAATAGAGCCAAGTAGCATTTAAAGAGATTAAATAGTGCTTTTGCCCAATGCTTCTGTGCCAGGCCCTTTTTTTCCCCAGCTTTGTTAATCTTTGCTAGGTCATTTTATTCTTCTCCATGATTTTTTAGGTCTCCAAACATGTCACAACTCTTGTCTCTTTATCCCCAGCCAACTGCTTTTTTCCGAACTTCAGACCTGTGCACACAATAGCCCAAAGTATCTTCTCATGTAGGTTAACTCACTGTCATTCATTAGTCAAAAGCTTTTGAAAATCTATTCTATGCCAGGAACTGTTCTGAGCATTGGGATGTAGAAACAAAGCTAACAGATAGTAATTTCTTCCTCCATGAAACCTACATTCTAGACAGATAATAAGCAAAATGAATAAAATCAGCATTATAGAGAAAAATAAAACAAGAAAGGACTTGGAAAGGAATCTTAGAAAACTACATCTTTTTAAAGGCTGGTTTGGGAAGATCTCACTAAAAAGGTGACATATGAGCAAAGGCCTAAAGAGAGTAAGGGAGTATAGAGAAATCTGGTGGAAAAGCATTCCAAATATCCTATAAATACTCAAAACTGAGCTTATTATTTTTTTCTTCAAAGTTCAACTTCTCCTCCTCAAATTCCTTTATAAATTATGCCATCATTCTTAACAACAATCTGTAGCCTCCTCCAATCCATCCTTAATGTTGCAAACAGTATTTATGAAATGCAAAGTTTATTATGACATCTTCCTGCTTAATTTTTTAGTAGCTACTTATTACGGTAAAACTCACTCTTTATCGTAGAGTCTAATATGACTAGCACACTAGTTTTGTCCTCCCTGCTGTTCTGTATAACCTCTCCAAGTTTCTCCTTACCATTTTAAGTGAATTTAGTGGCCATATAGAAAGTTCTTCACCAAGTGGCCCCTTCTAACTCTGTCTTTCTACAAGTTACTTTTGTAACAGTGACTTCAATTACAACAGAGGAGATGCAAATCACAACCACAATGAGATTTCACCTCACTCCTAAGAGAATGGCCTGTATCAAAAAGAATGGAAACAACAAATATTGATGAAGATGTAGAGAAAAAGGAACTCTCATCCACTGTTGAAGCAAATGCAATCTAGTTTAGCCTCTATGGAAAATGGTATGGAGATACCTTAAAAAAACAAAAATGGAAATTCCGTATGACCTGCAATACCTCTGTTATGTATTTACCCAAAGACTATAAAAACACTAACAGGAAAGACTTTTGTATTTCTATGTTTCCAGCAGCATTTTCTACAATTGCCAAGTCATGGAACCAACCTAAATGCCAAACAACAGACAGCTGGATCAAAGAAATTGTGGATTATATGCTCAGTAGAATACTATTCAGTTATTAAGGAGGATGAAATAGTGCCTTTTGGGAAAAAAAATGGGTGGACCTTGAGGTGATTATGCTAAGTGAAATAAATAAGGTGAAAGATAGATATTGCATATTTCACTATCTCTGGGATAGAAATAACCAAAAAAACCCCACATACTGGCAAAGGACAGCAAAAACAATTTTCTTAGACTGTGAAAAATATACTGGTTACCAGAAGGAAGGGGTTCAGGGAAGGAAAAGGATAGGACATTGGCATTGGAGGTTTAGTGGAGAGTAAGCAAAGCATATGCTCCTATGGAGGAATAAAAATATAATATATATGTTTACATATATAGACTGTAAACAACTTACAAATTAATAAAAAAAGATTTAAAAGTCTTGCTTAATGTTCATCTTTCTAAAACCCAGCTCAGTATTTGGTTCAAAAATGGACATTAAAAAATTAATAGCTAAAATTAAAGTATTGCTTTTAATAATATGGGTGCCCCAATTCAACATTATACAGAACACAAAGTCTTATTTACTTGGAAAGCCATCTGATCTAAAAGTAGAGCACTCCTTTCTATTGAGCTGTATCCACTAACAGCTTGCTACTACTACTCTGCTTTGTGAGTAATTTTACATATACTCAGTGTCATCTGCAAGTATATATATATATATATATATATATAAGCAATAAAGAATTTCAGTTCTAGAATATGAGTTGTAGAAATTGAGTCACCTCTGTAACAGATATGAAATTGAAGAACTGATCATAGAGGTTAAAGAGGAAAGTAAAATTAGTGACAGAAAGTTGAGATAAAAGCTTTACAAAGCTACTCTAATGGCATTTGAGAGGGAAAAGGCCACACTGTAAATAAGAAGGCAATAAAAAGGAGATCTAGAACCAATAATATACATATAAAGTTAGCAAAATATTTACATATAAATAGGCACCGGGAATAACAAAATGTAATTTGATTTGTATCCTATCTAAAACAAAATAATTTGCAAATGTCTCATAATTGGGCCTACTGGGGGTAGCAAACCTTTGTTTACTAGCACCTTCAGGTAAACAGAAATTTACAGAACATTACTTTAAGAAGTATATTAATTATTGATAGTGTTACCACACCGCCATTGCTTATTTACAGCAGTTGGATTTAGACTGTTACATATATATGATTCTAAAGACCTATGGTTTTGTTTTTTAAATTGTAAAAAAAAAATACTCAAATGGACTAATCTTACATGCTTCTATCACTATTTATCACATTCTATCACTTATGTATCTAGAATGATTTATAGTCTTAATTGTAGAGAATGCATGTTTATAAAAATAGGCAATCTTAAAAGATGTCCTAAATACTTGACAGGCAAAAGAACAGGCTTTCATTTAAAGTTTTATTAGTAAATTGAATATTGGCTAGCTAATTTTCTTAAAAGAGCTTAAAACGCAAATTTTTTCTCTATGATTGGTGACTCCTGACAGAGATTTACTAGCACAGATTGTATAAGATACTGCCTATGTTTACCTGATTTTATTGTGCAATCAAATGGAGAGGTCATTAAATTCCAGTTTGCGTCTCTGTGTAGATTTAGGGTAGAACTATGGATGCTAGTTTTTAACAAGCTCTCGGGAGATGCTGGTTCATGAAGTAGGCTCGCATAGCAAGGCTTGAGTCACTGGTTATCAGCCTGGATGCTTATTAGATCATTTGGGGAGGAGCAGGAAAAAAAAAAAACAAATCGCATTTCTAGGGATGATTATATAGTCTGGGTCCAATATGGGTATTGAGTTTTAAAAGTTCCTCGGGTCAGGCTAAAAGGCAGCTAAATTTGTGCCTGACATATTGGTTAAATTTATCAGTTGATTTTATTTCTCCTGATTTCTATTACTGTAGTTAATAAAGACAGGAATAATACAAACATGTTAATAATCAGTATTACACAGGCTATGAGTATTAGATGCTCCAAATCTCCAAATTTTTGCTAAGAATATGACTATCAATCAGATGCTAATGTTAAGAATCTTAGTGGTATCATTTTGAAACTTTTATATACCAAATTTATAACGTACTTTTAACGATATTTTAAAGTTAAATATTCATGGAATCATGACAATCTGAACTATTTTTAGATTAGGAGGCAGATAGATGAAAATACAGGATTTTAAAGTATACAGAAACATCTTTTCTTAATTACTGATAAAAAATTTCAGATTAAAAAATTCATAAAATATCCCATCATGGCACTTTTATCAGAAGAAAGGCTCACACAGAAAGAACAATCAAAAGTATACTAGTATCCCTATTTGAAGTAGGCACAGTGATCCTAGAGTTATAAACTGTATCATTATTTATACAGCCTTTCTTAATTATTTTGCTAAGTGGGGGTTTGTAAAAGACCAAGACGCAATTCCATTCCAAGTCTCCTCCCTAAGAGTTGGAAATGCACATTGAATACTTAAAAAAATCACCAAGAGTATACTTTTAGCAACATTGGTTTAACAATTCTCTTAAGAAAAACATTTTACTCTTCAAGAAAAGTTCTACTTATCATTTGGCTATCACTTAAAATACTAAATAAAATTTCTAAAAGATGGAATGTAGAAGCAGGGAGAAAAGGAGCACTAAACAGTGCAAAAACACCATGCAGAATGAAAATACACAATGTAAACTGAGTATAATCTATTAAAGTGTTCCTAAGGAAAGCTTTCATAGCATGAAGTACAGGATTTCATGACCTATTCCTAAGAATATATAGGCACTTGTATTAAATACACAAAACTTTTGCTGCTGAGTACTATAACTCCTAATTCCTTATAAAAACATTTCAATTAAAAGACATTGTAATACATGGAAATTGTTTCCCTTTAGTTTATTGTTTAGTTTGAATACATATCCTGCCAACTGAATACAAGCCCTGCCCACCACAAAATACCTAGTGTGACCAAGTAAATGAGACATCCCTGTAAGAATCACAAAGCGCCACTCTGACAGCTTTCTGTCATCAGGAAGCTGAGAAAATTTATTGAAACAATGAAGGAGTGAGACACAAGGCTGATTCAACTTCAAGTTCCAATCATTAATCTTCTTCAGAACTGGAATCATCCTCTTGGTCAGAGAGTTCAGGGACAGGGAAGCGCAGAATGGCAGCTACTCCAGTCAATTGGCTGAGCTGTTCCCCAGATACGTGAAGACTAGAGAATATCCTAACAGTGCCTGCGTTCTCTTTCACACTGTCCACCAGCCGCACATAACGGCTCCGTGTGGCTACATCCTGGTGCCTGAAGAGCTCATCACTGATTAGCAATGTGTCAATTGCCAAGGCTTCGTTGGCTTTCTCCACTTGCTTGAGTCCATAAAAAGCTCGGTCAGGTTCATGTTGTAACATTTTATAAAAGTCATCCAAGGCTTTCACTTCTCCAGCAGCTTTAGTGTCTGAAAGGCGACTAGCTACAGTAGGGTCACAAAGGGCCTCTTTCAGGGAGTACTTGTGTCCAGAGGAGGCATGTACCTGGAATCACAATTACAAAAGTTAAGACAAAAAAATCTCTTAGAGCAACAATTAATCAGTCCACAAATGGCCCCAAGCCATAAGCACTAATGAGGCTTTCTATGTTTACAGATTTCAGCAAAATTATTATTAAAAACTTGTCATATATTTTACAGTTCTTTTTTTTTTTTTTTGATCTCACAGTACCAATCAAGTACAATGACTCTCTCTCTCTCTCCTTTTATTTTCCCCAGTTTTAAAACTTTAGGAGCAGTTTACACCAATCCCTCTCCCCATTTTTAATTATCCCTAGGTAAGACTTTTACCTGTAGAAATTTGGACCGGTTTTCCAGGAGCACTTTGTTGTCGGTTTTCACTGCTTGTTGAAACATGTAGTCACAGAACTGCTCTCTCACAAATCCTGGGCTGGCCACCAAGATGCACTTTACAACATCGAAGTGTATGTGGCGCTGGATGGCCTGGACCACTTGTTCATAGAATCGCTCCAAGGCCCGGTCATGCTGGGAACAGTTGCCTTTCCGTTTCCTAGGGATGTTCACTTCCACCTTGGCCCGAGTGAGGGTCATGCTGGGCGTGACTAAGCAGATATGGGCGAGGCCTTCCTGCATGACCACAGCAGCCACATCAGCACTCCAGGCTGGGTCACAGGCCTGCTCAATGCGCTCCAGAACCACACTGTCCCACTGTTTCTTGGCCAAGGTGAACTGGCGGTTGGGTTCCAGCTCAATGGTGTGGTAAGCCCCCATCTTGACATACTCATTCTCCTGGATGTTAGTCCCTTTGACCCGAAGCTGGCAGGCTTGAGAGTCGAAGTCAATGGCCTCCACGCAAAGAGTGAGGGTAGTGCGGACACGGTTGCTTCCCACGCTGCCGGTGGAGGACTCGGTCTGCACCTTACGGATGGTGGAAGCGCGCAAGCTGTCGCCCACCTGCACTAGATTGTAGGTGTGCCACATGTCCTCAGGTTCCTCGGGGACCAGGGTCACCTGGCCGGCATTGTCTTTCTCAATGTCTTTCCTCACGAGCTTCATGACCTTGGCAAGGCTCTGAGCCAAGCTGGAAGAACCCAAGAAGTCCCCAACCGGGAAGGGGCAGGGAGGGGATGGGGAGTCTAGGCCCGGAAGGGGGCGGGGTCCGGCTCCAATAGGCACTTGTCGGGTAGGAAGGGAACACTCTTAACTCCGACGCAAGAGGCCCCGGGGAACACTTACTTTAGCCCTTTTCTTCTCAGCCTCGGGGAGCGGCGGGCCGAGCCACGGCGAGAAACGCGGCGGCGAACACTTTCCTCCCTGCGGTTCAGCAGCCAGCAGGGACCCAGCTGCTGACGCAACGAAGGCGCAGGCGCAGCCGCGTCCCTCCTCTCGGCGCACGTTTTACGTCCCCAAAAGGGAGGCGGGCGCGCAGGCGCACTAAGCGAGGAGGCGCTCCCGGCGAGTGAGGGCAGTGTCCGGAGACTTTGGCGGCGTGTCTTTTACTCTGATGCTGAGCTTGGGCTTCCTGAATTGACTTTTCTGTCCCTATTAATGAGGAATCTGGGGAGTATGCGGTTGCAAATATATATATATATATATATATATATATTCAGCCGCATACAGCTGCTACTTTACACTTTGCACTTTCTTCTCCGATCCAATTGCAAACTTAACTAAAAGTAAAAGGAACACTCAAAAGTGCAGATTTAGGCCCTAGCATCAAATGATGATCGCCTTTGCTCCTGCCTTATCCTCACTCAGACATTCCATGTTTAATGGAGTTGGGGTGTCCAGAAGTTTCCTGAAAATAACTGCTCATGGACGTTCTGGGCTCTGAGCAAGCTGCCGAGCTGTTTTCTGCACTTAGTTACCGTGTCTGCAGGATCTAATTAACCCACAAGTTAAGGCACTGATCCCAGAGGGAGAAGAAACTATCTGTGGAATTTACCCCCGGGTGGACCTCTCAGTGGCTGGACCTGATGTCCTGGGAATCCCAGAACCCAAAGCTGGCAGTCTCAGCTTTCCGCAGCTCAGTAGCCTGTGAAATGTTAAGGATGGGGGTTGGGTCGCAATAGCTTAGGGCGGGAGCTTCACTTCCAAAGCTGAGCTGAGAGCTGAGCTATGGAAAGTGGAGAAAACCCGATCTACTGCATCTAGCCATACAGATGTGATCTGAAAAGAAAAAAAAAAAAAATTCCTTAGGTCACTTAGGATTATTTTCCTGCGGGGGTAGTGAAGGGGAGTTTGGAGTTTGAGAAGTGAGGATTGCCTCTTAAAAAGATCAATGAATTGAAAAAGCCCACCAAAGTTTCTTCGGGAATTAAAATGAGGTGGAGGCCAGAGGAGTGCTATATACATATCTTCCCATTCTCTTCTTTACTTTACTGTGTATGCCAGGAAAGGGAAGCTTACCACCCTGGACTTGTGAGACAGGGTTAAAACAGAGGTATCTGACTTTGGCACAAGTCTTTTGATAGTCAAGTGACAGTTGCTTTCCTCAGAGATTGTAAGAGAACAGAAAAGTCCTATTTACAGCTTTTGTGCACATTAGAACAGTTAATCATGGTTCTGTCGTCTTTCCTTTCCCTCTCCTTAACTGCTTTCCCTTTTCCTTCCTCACCTTCCCACCATATTGAGTGCCCTCACAAAGTTCCTAGCTCATTTCCAAAGGTGGGGGGGAGGGAGGGGGAGAGAGAGAATGAGCACACTTTTAGTTGTTCCTTGAATATCTTTCCACACAATTTCTACTCCAAAGTATGCCAAGGATTAAAAAATCATAAGGCAGGCACATAGGATCTTAATCCATGTTAAGGTTTTATTGCCGAGGTATCATTTTTTATAAACTGTAAAATTCTTTAATTTTCTTTACTACAGTATTACTGCATTATAGCATACAAGTTTCAGCTGTGCATCACTGCAAATTAACATGTGTACATACTACATTATTTTCATCAGTAAAAGAAGAGCAGCTATCATTTCTTGAATATTTACCAGGTACTTTCTTATGCTCTTTCTAATCCTTACCTCAAAGGTAAATATTTGTTAACCTTATTTTATATGTTAAGAAAGAGAATTACAGCGAAGAAATGTATTCATGATCACACAACCAATATTCAAATTCAGCCCTCCTTAACACCACGCTCTTTTCTCTTTCCACTACCACAATACTTTATTATGGATGCTTGAAATCATCTCTACAATCATAAATTACTTTCTTTTATCCACTACCACCTCCCCTTAACTGTCACCTTTACCAGTTACAGTCCAACAGCTTAGGAACCAACCTAAAGAATTTGCTAAGCCCCAGTCCTTTCTTTGCACATTTATTATTTAAAAAATATTTAATATTCCTCTTTCCAACATAGTTATTAATTTGCCCAGTCTAGGTCAATCTGCTTGAGAAAGATCTACTATTTTAGAAAAATACATATATTTCTACATTTAAAACCTGTGGTAAGATGTGTGTGTGTGTGTGTGTGTGTGTGTGTGTATTTCACTATGAGAGCAAACTGCTTTGGGCTATCTTTTTAAATGCAGATGTACTTGAGTGATTGAACATACTGCAAAATTTTCATAGAATCACTATTTGATCTGAAACATCTGTAGCAGAACTTTTTAAAAATAACTTGCACTTAATTGCTGAATGATCACATTTTCTCTCAGATTTTCTGTTGTAACCTGTGGTATTTCTAGGGCAATTGTTATCTTTTATTTCAAATTGGTGTTCCCTTCTCTATTAATTAAAATCCAAATTCCTAATTTAAGACCTTCATGATCTGGCTTTACAAGCTTTATTTCCCTCTTGTCCCATTTGGCATCCTACTTTCCACTAGACTAGTCTTCGTTCCCCATACATCCTGGGATCTTTCTGCTTTGCTGTGTCCCTATTTAAATTTCATTTCTTCTCACTCCTACTTGTATAAATTCTATTTATCCATAAGGACCAATTTAAATATTATCTCAAACTTAAAACCATGCATTATATTCATTGGAACACCTATCTTTTCTTACTTACTGAATTCTGAATGGATCCATTCACTATTTCTTGAAAAGTCCCTTGCATATGAATGGTAAGCTAAGTAGATTAGATGTAAAGTATGGCAGTTATAATGATAATATCACAGACAACTCTTAAGGCACTGGTATTATTATCAACCATAGCTCCTTTAATCTAATAATGATATTTAAAAAGTAATTCCACTTATTTTAAAACTAGTATGTTTATAGCAGTTATATGGTATACAGCAATAAATGTTATTTTCAGTCTTTTCTCAAATTAGCAAAATCATTGCTAGCTTGATTGAGCAAAATCATGATTTAGCTTTGTTGTTTTAAAATCCAATTTTCACTTATTTACTGGCTTTTGGAAAATAGAAACCTCTATATCAGTAACTTTTTATCTGTTTGTCCTATAACATTTTATTTTTATTACTCTCTCCAGGAAAAAAAAAATGTTTGTGTTGCTAATCTCCAAAAGTTTTCAATTTGAATTTTTTCATACGTTTCCAATGTCTCAAAAAGAAAACTGGGGTAGAAGTCAAGTGGCCTGGATTACAATTCTTACTCTGTCACTCATTTTCACTGCAACTTGTGGCAGAACTCAGTCTCATGGAAACCCAGTATCTTTTACTTGAAAACAGAGGGATTTGGATTCAGGAATTAAAATGGTTTTAATAGTACTGTAATAATAATTAAAAATTTTAAATGATATCCATAATTTCACCTAGTACATTATTTTTTAATATTGTATACTGCCTTTTGAATTCAATACTTCCTTAATCCCATTTTAAAGGTAAAAGACTGATTCTAAACTGAATGCTGGCAGGTTGAGACTCAGTAGACCTGAGTTATGGTCTTTTATAGTTGGATTTTAGCAACTTCAGATAAGTCTAACCTCTATAAACCTAAATTTTTCAGCCTATGTTGTAAGTAAGATTATCTGTCCTCTCTTTCTCATTGGAAAATCTTTATGAGTTCCTAATGAGATTATAACACTTTGTAAACTATAGAGCTTATATACCTCTAAGGTATTATGAAAACCTCTAAGAAAACCTGATTTCAAAAGAGAAATCTGATTAGAAAAGACAAGGGGCAAGGATTCATATTAATGTGATCATAATTCAGTTTTAGAAAAAATACCTAATTTAGTATACTTCACCAACAGTAAATCTTTTGGGGGCATTTATTTATGCTAGCATCTCTTTCCAAGATATATTTAAGTCTTTCCTACTGCACAGAGTAGTTCAAGCACTTTATTGCTAATTGATTTACAATCCTTCCTATAATAATAATATGTTTAAAATTTCTTTTATGACGAAGACCTAGGTTATAGGCTTCTGAAGAGGGAACTCTTGTGTGAAAACCTTGTACTTAACATAGCAGCCATTAAATAGTAGCAGCGGTATATATATATTTTTGTTTCCATGTTGTACTTTTTTGCAAGACTTAGTTTTCTGAAACAAAAAACTATTCTTTTGTCTGCTCACAGCATCTTAGAAGCACCTTCCATCAGTGCTTCTTTGCTTATCTATTTTTTCCAGGCCATGCTCTTTTTAAGAGCACAGACTACCTTTTGTCTTTGTGTTTTTGGAATGGAATATACAGCAATTATAACATGAACTTAGTTACTATGTGAAAGAATGAGTAGCCAATTCTCCTTTAATTCACAGTTTTTAACTAATCTATCACTGACTTCTTGACATTGGGAAATTCCATTCTCTTTTATAATGTTACTAAAGGTTTCAAAGCAGGATCACCTTTAAATTTTTATATAACTTTTATGTAAGTTTTCAGTTTTTGAGATATTCATGCTAACAAAGTGATTATTCTAAACATGTCTTCTTTTTATTAACATTGAAAAAAGGATCTTAAATGTTCCAAAATAAAGCATAACTTTTTTTAAAAGATTTGTTTATGCATACAAGAGCTGGGGTACAGGCCAGAGATGCAGGGGGGGTGGGTGAGAGGATTCACCAGAGACAGAGTGGGAACAGAACAGGCAGACTGACTGAAGTATACTGCTGAGGGGAGCAGCAGACGGGCGAGACAGGAGAGGTCTGCTGCGCCATATGGGTTGCTCTCTGGCCAGTCAGGGATTGAACTCCTGCTGCAGAGGCTTCAGATTGCTTCATAATGCAGTGCTTAACCCCTTGCGCCACCAGGGAGGCCCCTTAAGTTTTATTATATATGGTTTGGAAAAAAATCTTTACAGAATAAACAGTCAGATCTTTGATTATGAATATCT